GGAGGAGGAGGAGGAGGAGGAGGAGGAGGAGGAGGGAAAAAATAAAGCTTTGTAAAACTAGAGGCAATTCTAATTCACCCAAAGTGACAAAAACGGGCTATATGGAACTCAACAAATGTGGCCATACCTGAACGGCGTTCAAAGCGAATCCCTGTAAATCGGGATTTGCAGCTTTCAGCAAAAGCTCTCTTGCTTTTGAGAGCTAATCAGGACCTCCCAGAAACAGATTGAGCCAAGATTCATTACAACGGGTTTTACGCTAAGCATAAAGGCCTCCAAAACCTTTATGAAACCTAAGTCTGGCTTCGGTTTGGAAGAGACGCACAGAAGCTTTTCGAGACAAAAATTTTTTCAAAGAATCAAAGCCAGAAAAGAAATAGAGTTGGGAAAGGAAAAAAAATAAAATCTTTTGGTGCCCTATTTCGGTCCCTTGAACTGCAGCTGCCGAAAGCTGCGCGGGGCGTTCAAAAGGCCCGTTTTTGCAAAGTGGATTCCGCAACAGACGAAAGCCATTGCTTTGAAGTGTTAGGCCGGTCCTCATTTTTGCAAAATTTGGGCAGCTGTCGAAAGCCATCCCCAGGTGCCTGGTGTGTTTGTGCATGTATGCAGTGACACCGCTTCTAAAAAGGCTGCTGGCTGGGGGGGGGGAGGGTGAATCAGCTGTTCCACGCAGCAACGCACATGTGTAAATAACACAGCTAGCTTTCAAAGCAGCCTTGCGAGTCTGGTTTTGTCGTCAAAAGAGAACCGACGTTGATGGGAAAACATGGATGGAAGGGATCTTGGAGGTCTTCTAGTCCAACCCCCTGCTCAGGCTGGAGACCCTATACCATTTCGGACAAATGGCTGTCCAGTCTCTTCTTAAAAACTTCCAGTGTTGGAGCATTCACCGCTTCTGGAGGCAGGTGGTTCCACTGGTTAATTGTTCTGACTGTCAGGAAGTTTCTCCTTAGTTCTAGGTTGCTTCTCTCCTTGATTGGTTCCCATCCGTTGCTTCTTGTTCTGCCTTCAGGTGCTTTGGAGAATAGCTTGACACCCCCCCTTCTCTTCTTTGTGTATGTGTGCTTCTCAACTCTGCCCACCTCTATCTTCAATCTAAGCTCTACTTGAGAGGCACAAACATGGAAGGCCGCAGAGAATTTGTGTGATCGCATTTCTAGTGGAGGTTTCTTACGCCTCCTTATTATGGAGTATTTTGATTGTCCTATGGCTAGCTCTGAGACTATGTTTTGGTCAACACATAACCAATTCTTGCCTTGTATGTATCTGGGAAGCTCAGCAGACATCCATTTAATAAGCTACTTCACCCTGATAGAGCATTGATTTGACACTTTCCAGCATTGATATGACGCTTTCTGGGGATGCTTTGATACAGTTTGGAGTTGTGTTGTTTGAATTTCTTTGGTATTCGGGGGGGGGGGGGAATGTTTATCATCCCTTATTGGTTTAATTCTGATATTTGCAGTTTTGTTCCATAAGCTATTGGGGAGGATTGCTAGCCCAAAGGCAACTACAGTAGTGGCCAAAATTGTGGAAACCTTTTGGGAAAAGTGTACAGTAGAAATGCCACCTTTGGTTAAGTTTCCACCCATTTTTCTTCTAATTTCTTTATAACTGTAGCCTTGTTCACTTAATAATACTATTTTACATCGCTTTCTGGGTAACCAGTCAACTCTTTGCACCATTACTTTAGCTTAATTGCATTTTACAAGCTCACTGAATGAAAGAACACCAAAAAACCCAACCAACTTGATAGCCATCACATAACACACTGACAAACGTCCTCCTCTCAGCTTCAATACATGACATCAATAACTGAATCCTAACTGTGATCCGACTGGCTCATGGCCAAAACAAGATGACACCAGATTGGCTCTCTAAACACTCATGCTCATTGGCTACCATCAGATGAAGGAAAGCTACCTGAGATCAACTTAAGCAAGTTGTGCTTCCTTTTTCTGGTTATTTGGCTATAACTTTTCATAGAATACAGTACAGATCATTGAACAAACTATGTTGCATTACGTTCATGATTAAATTATCTTTCCATTGATATATAATTTTATGGTACTACTCAAAAAAAAAAAAAAGTGGTGTTCTTAGCCATCCAACCTTAAAAATACCCTTTTCCCAAAAGGTTTCCACAATTTTGGCCACTGCTGTAACTAATGGTGTGTTTGGTCATCATTTTTCAAATGTTAAGTTACTTTCTGTTTCTTTCTCCTGTCTTTTCCATCCAGAGGACGTACATTTTCACCTTCCTCTTGAGCTCCCGGGTCTTCATTCATCCTCATGAGCTCTTGGCTAAAGTTGGACACCTCTGCCTTAAGCAGAAACAGCAGCTGGAGACCGGGGTGGAAGCAGACAAGGTAAGGGAGCGATCAAGTTGTTCTCCAATTTTTAGCTTTGTATTTCCTTTCCTTCTGCAGTGACATCTACATCACTAATGGCCAAAATAGGTCCTTCACCTCATGGCATAAGTTAACGAACACAAGTCAGCTCCTGGACAGTAGAGGTCTATATTTATATTTAATGACAGGAACTTCCTTACCTATTGTATCTTTTTAGGCTAGCATAATGTTATTTTTCTGCGTAAGAGCTGAATAGAACTTGTTGAGAAACTGGAATAAGCTACTGTTTACTGTGGGGTCTTTGGTGCTCTCTGAGCCTGGTGGGTTATTTGCAGATTTTTTTTGCAGACACTTCATTAACCAAACTTGGTAAAATCATCACTGCTAGAAGAGAGAGGGGTTTGTGGAGAGGAGGAGGAGGAGGAGGAGGAGGAGGAGGAGGAGGAGGAGGAGGAAGTGGTGGTCCTTGGTGCTCTCTAAGCCGTAAAACGTCTAGCAAAAGAATTATATTTGATGAGTTTGTTCTATATCTTTAGTCATTGATTCTCTTGATAGAGAAGAATATTTGGTCCCTGGTGCTCTCTGAGCTCGGCTGTTTTCTTGCAGACGTTTCATTACCCAAACTAGGTAACATCATCACTGCTAGACGAGAGAGTGGTTTGGAGAGGAGGAGGAGGAGGAGGAGGAGGA